GAGGGGCTTTCGGCGGATGTTTCCGTTCACGTAATTTTTTTTTGCAAAGGCTAACATCTTTTACTGCCACTTTACAAAGAGACTATTGAAATTTTAATTTCACTATCTAAGTCACAGCGATGATGCTTCAGGTGAATGGCAAGTGTATTTTCCCAATGGTTGGGGTTTTCAAAACTAGACGGCATATTTTAAAGGTGCGAAGAGAAAGATTTAAAAAGGACATATGGGGCAACATTTTTACACAGAGAGTGGTCCGTGTGTGGAATGAACTTCCAGAAGAAGTGGTGGATGCAGATACAATTAAAACATTTAAAAGACATTTGGATAAGTATATAAATAAGAAAGGTTTGGAGGGATATGGGCCATGCACAAGCAGGTGGGACTAATTTAGTTTGGAATTATGGTTAGCATGGACTAGTTGGACTGGAGGGTTTGTTTCCATGCTGTATGGCTCTATGACTCTATAACAAGAGCTGAATATCCCCCATGGGCATCTGGACCACACTGCCAGGGTCACATGTGTGTCAGAAAGCTACATGATGTGGGTGCATCTTCGCTATGTCAGGCAGCAAAAGTGGGAAGTTTTCCTGATCAGCCATGTTAGATGCAAAGTGGCAGCCCTCAAACACTATTCTGTGGTGATTGACCAGCGAACATCCAGCAGAATAAAGTCGCCCAGGAAAGAAAAATAGGCTCAAATTTCATGTGCCATTTGGCACAGCAGAGAACCAAGGAAAGAAGGAAGGATTCAACCAATAAGGGAAATGCTTAAAAGATGTTTAATCCTCAGCCAAGGTTTTCCCATGGACAACTTCTGTCATGAGTAACTGGTCACTTGTCAATAATAAGAAGCTTGAATGATCACAGGCATAGCTTCCTGAGTGAAATCAAATTAGCACTAACTAGATATTGAGCCTTCAACCTATGCAGTTTGTATGATTCGGTTCTATACCATTTATTGATTGAGTTTTGCCTTTGTCTCTGGGCTTGCAGGCATTGTTGTTTAGACACTGAAAGTAATTGTACTAATATTTTTTATAAAAATCCTTGTGTCTACATTAACATTGAATCTCAATTGTTGCCCTATAGATTTATCTTGTCACATTCTACGTCGATGTGGAAAATGTGCTGACTCAAACACAATGGAAGTATATCTGTTCACATACCCTTTGACCTGGTAATCCAGGTTTTCCAGCACTGCCATCCAGACCAGGACGACCCTAAAATTAGAAAACAAAAACACTTTTTTAAGATATCATTGAGCTTCAATTGTTCACAAGAGTTTCAAATTTTCATTTCCTTTCCTTCCTGGGACATCTCAACACCACCTTGCAATAATCTGCAAAAGTACCATCTTCTCCCAGTGCTTTCAGTTCTGACAAAGGGTCACACAGTTGTCTCTCCACAGATGCTGTCAATTCGTCCGTGTTTCTTCAGCACTTTATATTTTTGTTCCCTAGTTTAGAATCATTCATGGGCATTACTAGCACAGCCAACATTTTCTGCCCATCTCCAATTACCCTTTGAACTGAGTGGCTTGCAAGGACGAGTTCAGAGATCAGCTAAGAGTGAACCACATTGGGCTGGCTCTGGAGTCACATGTAGGCCATACCAGGTTAGGATTACAGATTACAGACTATCCAGAGGGCATTTGTGAATGAGATGGGTGCTAAGTAAATGGCAGGGTTGGTGGGCTCAAGAGACCTTGACCTCATTGTAGGTGTCTCATCTTCTCAAGAAGTCAGGGTGGTGCCAGCTGGCACCCACATAGAGGAAAGGTGGTGGTCACTCCAACAGCTTCATTTCTTCACTCGGAGAGTGGTCAACCTGTAGAATTCACGACCAGAGAAGGTTTTGGAGCCTAGTCTACTGAGTATATTGAAGAAATAAAATGATAACATTTCATGTATTAAAGCATCAAGGTAATGGAGAAAAATAAAACAGGACTGCAGCATTGAGATACAGGAACAACCATGATCTGTATTGAATGGCAGAGCAGGCTCAAGTGGCTGAATGCCCCACTCCTGCTTATAGTTTCTATATTTCTAAGTTTCATTTCAGGACTTTCCAGAGATGCCATACCATTGATCCCATTGCCTTCAGCTGCTCAGTCCCAGAAGGGTGAGAATGCAATTATGCAAGGCATTTTCAGCAGGCTGGGCCCTTTAGGCCCAAAGCCACCAAGGTATGCTTGCCAGTGACTTCAAAGTCAACAGGACATATGCCCAGCAGGCTCCATCCCATCCCAACTGCAAGAGTTCAGCCTGCATCCCAATACTGTAGGATGGAGAGGGATAATAAAACAAAACATTCTCATACAGGAGTTCAATCAATCTCTGTATGGAGTAAGGGCTTATGTAAACTTATCTTCGCTCGTGCTGTTCTAATGCCTGTCATAGTCTCGTCCTAATCAGAATGGAGGAGGTTCTCCAAAATGAAAGATTCACACCCTTGGTTCACCTTGCATAATCCGGAAACTGAGTGACTAGAGATCACCTCATTTGGGAACAACATACCGAAAAGGTGGGGATTGCAGTCAATGCGTGGCAGCTGAATCTCAGAAATAGAGCCTCCCACTTTGGTTCCCACCTTCCTAACATTGAAACCTTGATATTCAGATCAATATGGGAAGGTTTAGACTCTATCTTCACTGCAGTGACTTGTAGGGCCCACCTGCAACCCACAAAAATACTCCCCATTCTTCACATTCCCTATCATGCTACTCTGTGCTCCCTAATTGCCCATCATCCTTGCCCATTTTGGTTGAGCTCCTTTATATGACCATGAATGTTTCTATTTTATCCTATGGTTCTTAACTATCGAGATATCAATGTTCTTGCTGCCTTGCACTCCCTTCATACTGGGGTCAGAATGACCTGTCCTGAAAATCCATTTGAGACCACGCAGTTTCGTTCTACTTTCTGCTAGATCCCACTATACCATCTACAATACTCCCTTGCAATTGTGACCATTAAAACTCAACCACCAAGTACAATCCGGCCAATTTTTTCACTTGAGATGCTCATAAGCTTGAAAACATGGTGGACAGACACTCAAAAAGCCTGATTATGTACGATCCATTATGCATCCCTGACTGACTGTGCCTGACCCCACCCAGGACAGCCCTGACTAATCACATCTTCCCCAACATCCCCTTCATCACCCCCTACTGAATTTGCAAGATGACCCCAAATGACTGACGAGCAAGGCCCAATCCAATTTCACTTGATTGTCAGGACTGACCATGGCTCAATCCCTAGACAGTAACAGCATTGATTCTCAGATCTGCGTCAGATAAGCCACCTGATTGACTGTGAGCAAACCCACTCCAGGAAAATGGCCTAGTTCCTAGGCTGAGAGTGGTGGTAATCCCCGACTGACTGGAGGCTACCATCACCTCATGAAACATGCTTCCTCTTTCCCTTTCACCCTCTCATCTTATTCTACAAGTACATGCAGTGCGTCTGCTGATAAGCTATTGGCACATGAACCACTCAGAGATAGTAAGAATTGCCGATACTGGAGTCAGAGATAACACAGTGTGGAGCTGGAGGAACACAGCAGGCCAGGCAGCATCAGAGGAGCAGGAAAGCTGACGTTTTGATATGGGACCCTTCTTCAACTGTTTCTGACTTTCATGCAGTTAACATGCTTTTCACTGATGTGTCCCCACTGCCTGCCTTTCAATTGTGTGAAGGGTTCCCTTTCACCCTGAGAAGTTGACACTGGTGCATTGCCATTGCCAGGTTGGGTGAAGCTATGGTTTAGGGACATATTGTATCTTAGTCAAAATGGTAGGTATAGCAGATGGGACTGTACTGACTGCAATTTAGATGAGTGAGGGCGATCTGATAGAAACCTGTAAATTCTAACAGGACCAGACAGGATAAACACAGGAAGGATGTGCCCAATGATTAGGGAGTCCAGAATCAGGGGTCACAGTTGAGGAAACGGGGTAGGCCAGTTAGGACTGAAATAAGGATCAATTCCTTCACCCAGAGAATGGTGAATCTGTGGAATTCTCTGCCACAGAAAGCAGTTGAGGCCAAAACATTGAATGTTTTCAAGGAGTTAGATGTGGTTCTGAGGATGAAAGACATCAAAAGGAAAGGGACAAAAGTGGGAACGCAGTACTGAGTTGGATGATCAGCCATAACTATAGTGAATTATGAGGTGGGCTTGATGGCTGAATGGCCTATTCCTGTGACTATTTTTTAAAATTTTTATGTTTCTATCTGGACTGGAGGCAGAAAATCAAAGATGGTTTGTGATGTGGTCTTTCTGAAGCAAGTTTCTTGATAGGGAAGAGCTTAACTGGAAGGGGGAAATTAATTCTGACATCTAGGGCAATTATTGAAATGCAAATTCAGGTACGTAGGCTTCTCACTACCTGATGGTGAGAAGGTGAACCTGCTATGTAAGGAGGGAGGACTCGAGTGTGAGAGTTTATCTCAACAGCAAGAATCTGAAACTTATGTTGTTATTATTCTCACCACCTAAGGGAGTAGAAAATCATGTCTTAAATCTTTTGTTGCATTGAAACCAGGCCTGTTAATTTCAACTTTCATAGCCACCTACTTCACCACACATTTTGATGCTATGTTTTTACCTGTTTTAGGAGGAAACAATTTGAGCTGAGGAAATTATATGTATTATCACAAAAAGTTCTAATGTCAACCCATAAAGAAGAGAAAATTTTCTCAAGCTGCATGAATTCCTAAATTGTAGGAGCTTGACCCAGAAAGAGGGATGAGGAGGAATCTTTGTAAATGTTTGCCCTGCAAACTTTCTCAGGCCACATATCTGCTACTGAAGTGGTCACTTCAGAAAATATCTGACTGACGACATTCCTTCGAATGTAAGTATGGTCCATCAATGCAGCTAATCTGTACTGAACTAAACCTTTGTCCTCTTCCTCCAACACCTCCATGCTACTTCCCAAATTTTCCAAATCAGAAATTTTTCAAGCAACTAATTTTCCTCTAATGTGTTCTTATCAGCGAAGCAAGGGCTTCAGAAAATCCACTGCTATCTGCAGTAATTACCAAGCTTTTTTCATTATGCTTAGTTGCAACATAATATAAGGCAAGGGCACATGCGTGAGAGGAATCTGATGTCTTCTTTCACTCAGTGATCATTTCATCTTGCTGAATGGTTTGAGCCAATTTCTTCCTTTAAAAGTGAGAAGAAGTCCACTTACCATCAGCCCTATAGGACCTGGCAAGCCTGGGTGTCCACGAAGTCCTGGCTGACCCTGTAAAGGTTAAGCACATTACATCTAAATCAAAATGAAGCATTTGGAAAATCTTGAACATCTGTAAATATTATTCATAAGAATGGTTTGTTATTGATGAATTTTGATTCATATTTTCAATGCTTTCTCATCGTTTCATGAGAGACTTGTCCAATTAAGAATTGCCTTAAAATCTCTTCACTCTCCTGCAATCACCGTAGCACACTTCATCGAAGTATATGGAAGCACATCATATTTTACAACATTGAAAAGAAGTTTTTAATGCTGTAGATCTATGCTTGTGTTTATGTTCTATGAGGCCTTGTTTGTCTTATTTCAATGCAGCTTATTATCCCACTACCTCCTTGTGCTACTACAGACATCTTCTATTCTACCTACTGCAATCTTCACTCCCCCAAACCTCATATCCTGCACAAAGTGCCATCAATATCAGTAAACATTCCAGAATTCTTCCTCCTTCGAAGACAGGACAGAGCACAACTTGGTCCATGCTGGGCGTTCATATTGCAGCCAGCTGTTTCAAACGTGGAAGATGAGTAACAACTCCAAGTCTGATTGTAGCTATAAGTGCCAGGTCAGGGAACACATCACATTAACCTGTCAACTGTGATTTATTGGGGAAGGCACCTCATTGGTTCATTTGCCATCTCAGAAAGCCATGGAAAGAATGGCCAAAATAAACATTCCTTTCTAAGCTCTATCCATCATACATATGTATAATGATACTGATTTGAGAGTGCAGCAGGGACAAGACAAGTAATTTAGCTCCAACTGTCCCTCTTTGAATAAGCAAAGATTTCTCACATACTGTTTCTCAGTGAAGTTGAGAGAGGGGGAGGAGTGCTCTGTGAATAATCACTCTGGGTATGGCCCCTTGTGTAACATCCTTTTACTCCCTCTTTCCAAGCTACAGCGGCTCTTCTTGCTAGCTCCTCTTTCACCACCAGTGCTAATGGTAGAGTTACCAGACTGAAGATCATGGCTGCTTCCATGGGGAAGCTAGTTCAGTACATGGGCGAAGAAGAAAGAGAAGGATATGATGACAGGCTGATATGAAGTAAGGTGGAGATGGATATTTGTGTAAAGAGTTCACACCAGCATAGATTTGTTAGATTGTATTTCCCTTTGCTGTACAGTAATTTGGGGATTGAATTAATTTCCTTCTTATTTCTTCTTATTTTAAAATGCTTACAGATTGCCTAGAGTTGTTTATATAATCTTGATTCATAACATTTCTTAGCCATCAAAATGCAGACACTTTGAATAGTATTTTAATGTGTTGTTCAAGACATATGTGCTTTATACGGGAGTTAAACTTACTGGTTCTCCTTTCAAGCCACCAAGTTCTGCCTAAAAGAAAATATTCAGTTGTTAGTCATCAACATCAAAGGAACAAACAAACCAGAACTTACTTTCCTTTTACTATTAAAACAACCAAAATAATTACACAATTATTAAAACCAGGGAAGGCCAGTTTTAATTTTGGAAGGTGTTAAACCATGTAAGGGTAACATTTCTCAGGTTGCATTGTTAGAGAAGGTAATGGGCCTTATGGACAATTAGCACATCTTCCTTGTTGAGCAGTGCTATGATTGGAAGAGACAAGGCATTCCAGATACTTCACTGTTGTTCCTCCTTCTCTGCCTTCTGTGATGCTTGTACCACACTGGTACACAGGATCAGATTATCATCCACTACTAATATGCAGTAGATAATTAGAAATGACACGACATCATGGAAAAAAGTACATTGTTCAGAAGAGATTTGAAAAAGATCGTTGAACAGATATAAATAAAATTTCATTTTATCTATTCCAATGAACAATGAAATTTGTCACAGAAGACCAAATATTTAAATCAAATGATAAAAATATTGATCAGGACTGATAAAATTTAAAGAGAAATGTGTGACATTAATCACTATTTTAGTCAGAAATATCAAAACAAGTTGTTAAAAATTGTTTGGTTACAAAGATAGCCAAGTCATAATTTTTCTTAAATCTGAACAGTTTATTCCATTGTTTAGGAGATATGTAAATGTAAACATTTAACAACTGCTCACTTTGATTTTAAAATAGATTCTTTTTTTTAAATGTGCTTTCACAGAAGTGACATTAGTTATTTGATATCATTGAATGTACATCAACCATAAAATCAAGCAGTAATAGGGAAATTGTTATACATTCAAATGGATTGAAAATAACTAAATGATATTTACATTCATGATGCTCACTCCTGGGAGGTAAAGATTTGTACCAAATGCACAAAATTCATAAATTTACCCCAAGGAACTCAGTATCTGATCACAATTCCTGCTGTATTCCTCTCCTGTATCTACATAAATTTTGAATATTTCCAGACCAGACAATCCAAATTGTCTCTGACTTCAATCAACCAGCTTAATGGAAAGAGTGGGAAGTCAGGAATGTCTGAAACCTGATGTTCCTGTTGCTGACAGAGACTGCAAAGTCAGCCCACTCCTTGATTTCTTTACCAGGTCACTTCATCTTCCACCGCATTATATTTCACTAGTTAAGACACTCACCACACTGCCCGGGTAACCTGGAGGTCCAGCTTCTCCCTGTAAATAAAAAACAAAATCAACAAAAGATGGGTCTGAAAATTTATACATTCAAGCCTTAGTTACCTTCCTCAAACTGCCCAGCATGAGCATGAAGAAATTTGTGAAAAATTTACAGAACCATCCAATTACAGAAAAAGAGAAATCTTCAACTTTGAATAAGAAAATATGGTTATGCTTCAGTTTTTTTCCAATTCTATTTGCCCCTCTACCAAGGGGCTTAGTAATATAAGTGCAGACTTTTCACAAGTTGCCTTTGCAGCCATTTTACTTCATTGTGTTATTAGCAAGTACATTTTGGCTGATTGTTTAACTGTAGAAAAAAATGTCAGGTCTAAGACCAGCCTTTGTCCTCGTCCAATACCCCACAAATAGCTTATAGCATGCATCTCCAGATAGCAGTCAGGAATACATTTTTGCTTCTTGCTGAATCGCTCCCTTTGTAGACTATCTGCTATCACTCCCTGACTCTAGCCTTCATCCAAATAAAGCAATTTTGTACAGATTTGTGATTGAATCAAGGGACCTTTATAATAAAGCACTGCTAATTGTTCTGCTGCCATTACTCCCAGCAATCTTAATTTGTCCAGTTGGATGTATTATGAAGCTAAAACATCAACTAGGAGAGATTTCAATCATTACAGAAACATGGTTTGCATAGCTAGCTATAGACGTGATCCTAAAGTGAGTTGTCGGACTACCAAATTAATCTCAGAATAAGATACATCTACACAGATATATTACAGCAGAGATAACTTACCAATATCAGGACACAGAATGGCCTTTTAGTTCATGATTACAATTGGCCAGGTGAAGCTAGTTGTCTCACATGGCTACTACACAGTAAACCCACAAGTGGTTTTCTCCACTAACAGAATGCTGCCATCAAGCCCATCACACAAATAAGTAATGTGATATGTGAATTCTAGTAAGTGGTGTCGGGTATGTAGGTTATATATGCCAGTGATTGACAGGCTATGCCAAACCACATCTTGATGATGATTTACAGGTGGCAGCATATTGCTCATGCCCAACCAGACTGTATTTTCAAGCCTCAGAACAGTATATCCTACATTAGATGTGATTCTGCCATTGGAAAATTTTTATTAAATAATCCAGATGTACTATGAGTTACATCCAAAACCAATTTAAGATCATCTGCCAGACTTACAGTGTGAAGCATTTGCAGATATTAGAAGCTGCATACATAAATAATCAGGATCATGTGGGCAAAAGGAAACATATATGCACATCTTTTTAAAAAATAAAAACAGCCATGGAGGCAGCCAAACTCAGCTGCATCCCTATGACAATGACCTGAGCAATAAGAATCTACCTAAATGGTCTGAGAATTAAGGTTAACGTTAACAGCTCTTGCTGTATCTCTGTGCCAATGATGGCTCAACCAATCACTACCCTCTCTCGCGCAGTACAAAATGATGTATCTTTTTCAAGTCTGTTGCTTACATCTTAGATCTGACGAGTATAAGACAAAAGCCTCCAACATTTAGTCTTCTTTTAGCAAAGTTGTATGAAGTCAGGACCTTGACTCAGTTCTAGGTTACATTTTTGGTTATCTACCATAATTATTGTACAGGCTCTCATGCTCATAACAATATCCAGGCAACTGTCTTCTTTTTTGTGCAACATGAGGGAAAACAACACACAAGGTCTACGAACTGGTATTGCTCTGATATGCATGTATCCATGGAATGGGTGCTCAAATAGCTTAAGTGTTGATTATAACATTGAATGGGCATTATTGGAATTCTACTAAAGGAAGGGAAAGATTTTAAGCAATCTCTGAAGTAGCTAAGTTTCTCCTCCCTGTGCTAGTCCTGATCTGTGGAGGCTAGGATGCCATCAACAATAAATGTTAGCAGTTGGCATGATAGGATAGAAACAAAGTTCCAGATGGGCAAATGATATTTTTGGAAAGTAGAAAATCACAAACATAAATCCTCTCAGCTTCTCTATAGCTGGTCTGAAATTTGAAACTCAAAAAAAGTTATTGAGTTGTTTCTTATGGAAGTAGGAATTCCATCAATGATTAATATGCAAGAGATAACTTAACAACTACATTAAACTGACAGGGTGCTTCACTTGCAAAGTGCACACCATGCCATATTTTGTGCAGAACGCCAATGTTCTTCTGATATGAGTTATGAGGTTCCCCTTGCTGACTGGATTCACTAGCAAAATATAATTAGAGTGCCTGGTTTTGAAGCAGCTAACTGATGGTATTTGGTTCAGAGATAGTAGGAACTGCAGATGCTGGAGAATCTGAGATAAAAGGTGTAGAGCTGGACAAACACAGCAGGCCAAGCAGCATCGGAGGAGCAGGAAAGCTGACGTTTCAGGCCTAGACCCTCTAGGCCCGAAACGTCAGCCTTCCTGCTCCTCCGATGCTGTTTGGCCTGCTGTGTTCATCCAGCTATATACCTTGTTATCTCTGATGGTATTTGGTGCTGATTTCAAAGAAAACTACCCATTATAATCTAACAATCTCCTTTGTGATGATTTCCTCTTGACTGGCATTAATTTGAATTTGGCACCAAGTCCAACAGCTAATCATATTGACGCATTCTCACCAGTAGCAAGCTAGAAAGGAAGAAACCGTGCTCATCCTTCACCCATAGTTAAATTTTACAGAATTAAATAAAGATTGGGCCATTCACTTGGGCCTACAGTGGAAGCTTAATTCCCATAAACGAATACAAACATTTTTAAAACTTGATTTCTTAAATTATAATGGAGAATTTTGATATTCAACAAACATGAAATTAGTTTACAGAGCCAGAGATTATTTTTAGCAATAATTGTAAATTTAGTACACAACTAAATGTTGAGTTCCATCTTTTAAAAAGGTGAAACTTTTCAGCGTGTGTTTTTTTTTGCAATGAGACTAATAGCTTAAAAGAACAGGTTCTTTTCAGTTTAGTGATTTCTAATTCACTATAATCCAGGTGTTCAACAGCGTGCCCCAGTGAGAAACATAGAATCACAGGAAGCAGTTCATGTTACCCTCAGTTTTATAGGAATAGTGATGATGAAGGCTAACTGTTTTCTTTAGTATTACATATGTAAAATCCGGGTTAAACTGAAATTATTTTGCCTTTTCTCTGTCTCATAACAAAAAGAATCACTTTGATCCCCCTAAAACATTCTTACAACAGTACACACAATTTGTTCTAATGACATCAAATGCCATAACAATTTTGTTTTTTACTTTTTATACTTACTTTTTCTCCTTTTTCTCCAGGAGTACCAGGAATTCCTGGGCTACCAGTTGCACCCTTTGAATAAGGATAGAAGATGTTACAACAACAGAAATTAAAAGTAACAATTTTAACTGAATAAAACATTCTAAAGCACTCCACAAGAGCAAAATCAGACAGAATTGGACACCAAGATAAAGGAAATATCAGGATGGGAGGTCAAAATCTTGGTCAATGATGTAGCAATTCAGCTGGCTCTTGATAGAAAAGTTTGAGGTAGAGATTTAGGGCAATAATTCCAGATTTAAGGGCCTACATATCTGATGTTACAACCACCTCTAGTGGAAAAAGAAAGTGGGGATACATGAATGATCATTTGAAGTTATTGCATATTTTATATCTAGGAGTCATAAAGAGGGGGCATGCCAGCTTCTTTGTGTGTAATAGGAATTTGTTCACAGAGTTCCAAAACATCTTCTGCTTACAGTTCAATGCTTCCAGCAACTTCTATAGATTTTTATTTACTCACCTTGGAGTCCACATCCAGGCCTAATTAATCAAGCACAGTGAGCATCAACAGGAAAGAGATTCACATAATTTCATAAATAACAACTAAACATTTCAACACTTTAGGTGGAATGCAGAATTCTTGGAGGGTTGTAGGCTTTCTACTTATTCATGGGATCTGGGTATTCCCAGCTTTGCCTACATTTATTATACATCCCTAGTTACCCTTGAGAAGGTGGTAGTGATCTGCCTTCTTGAACCACTGCAGTCCACATGGTGCAGGTCCATAACAATGTTGCTAGAGAGTGAGTTTCTGATGTTTGACTAGGAGAGAAGGAATTGAGATATATTTCCAAGTTAGGAATCTGAGTGATTTGGAGATAAACTTGCATCTGGCGGTATTCCTACATATGTGGTACCTCTGTCATTCTAGGTAGTAGAGTCATGAGTTCGGAAGGTGATGTCGAGGTGATCCCTGGTGAACTGCTGCAGCATATCTTGTTGATCATATACACTGTTGCCGCTGTGCATCAATGTTGGAGGAAGTGGATGTTAAAGGTGTGACATGTGATGACAACCAAGGGAACTGTTTTATCCTGAATAGCATCAAACCTCTTGACTATTGTTGGAGATGATCCATCCAGGCCAGTTGGGATTTATCATTGCACTCCTGACTGGTGGCTTTTAGATGGTAGACAGGCTTTGAGGAGTCAGCAGTTGACTTATTAGCCGAAGAATTCCAAGCCTCTAACATGCTTTAGTAGCCATACTAGTTATACGATTGTTCAATTCCGTTGTGGGTCAATGGTAATCCTCAAGATTTTAACTGTGGGCTGATATGTCATCAGAATGCCATTGAACATCAAGCAGAGTCAAATTCTCCCTTGTTGGAGATGGTCTCTTGTAATTTAGAGAAACATGGAAGTGTAAGATCATGGAAACATTGGAAATTAGAAAAAAAAATATTCAAGGCATTGGTGGACACGAATTCAATGCAGATCAGTGAACACTGCAGTGTTGGGCAAACTGCAGTGAGTTAGGAAGCTTGAATGAATCAAAGTTTCTGAGAGGTGAAGGATAGAACAAAGAACAAAGAACAAAGAAAATTACAGCACAGGAACAGGCCCTTCGGCCCTCTAAGACTGCGCCGATCCAGATCCTCTATAGGAGGCATTGTTACGAACAGCTCACCTATTGCAGATCCATTCCATAATTGCCTCTTTAAAAGAATTACCATTTTGTTACTGAAAGGATTCTACATTGCTTGCTACCACTTTACTTTTTTTCAGTTTCCTTGCCTCACCTCAGATAGTTTCATTAGAGGGGCTTCACAGCCAAGTTCAATGTTATGCTTGCTGGTATCCACTTTTGAAAATGAGAGGGGATGGGGACAATGCCCTCTCCCAGGGCATTTGGACTGGTCTGTCTAAATGCAGTTGCCTTAAAGCAGGGATTGAACCTGGGGCCTATTAGCTTGTACGACAAACTGAGGGATACATTTGCCCACCAAGTCCTTCAGGGACTTTTTTTTATTTCAACAAATAACTCAAAACAATCTGACAACGAATTCCTGTTATCAAAAAGTGGCAACTTTGGTCCATCTTAAGAGGCAACTAATATTAGGCCCAGAATTGACAGAAAATTTAGAGTAACTCAATTGCTGTGCTTTAAACCATACAGCCCTGTATTAAGGAGTCTATTTGGCCTCCTGATTGGGTGCTAGCACTTCCAACGAGCAATCCAGTTCCATGACACTGACCTTTTACCATGTCCCTACAATCTTTTATTCTTCAGGTATTTGCCAATCTCCCTGATTGAAAGGACATTTCATTCACAGGAATGTGAAATAAACGTTCTCTGATTCATTCAAGTGTCCGATGATTTTGCCTTTTGATATATTCATCAGGTTTAGTCAGCTTCATTTGCTTCACTGTGTCAGAATCAATTGCCTTACATTTTTAGCCATTGCCTCAGAAGTCACATCAAAGACTTGGCACAAAGCCAGCCCTGTTCTTTATCTGACAAGACACTTTCTAACATGATGGAAAGGGCTGGATTACATGGTGGGCAGCCTTTGAGTCCAAAAAAGTTCAACAAAGGTAAAGGTAAAAGTTTAATTGTTAGCCTTGTATCATATGACTAACACTTACAGTCAATGAAAAGTGGGTTTGTTGCTGGACAAGGAACCTTAAATAATGATCCAGTTTGATAGCAGATAAAATTTCACTGCAGCAGCTTGAAAACTTTAATTCAATGTAAACAGTGACATATAAGTCAAAATGACCATGAAAATATCAAACTGTGTTTAAACCCTGTCTCATGCCTATCTCAAACCATGTCTGCATTATTAACATCTTTTGCGGAAAAAAAAATCACATTATCCTTGAATGGTCTGGCTTTAATCTAACTGCAGTACCATATCCATGTGACTGTTGCATTACTGCCATCAGACGTGATTCTGAAAATGAGTCATACTGGATTTGAAATATTAACTCTGTTTCTCTCTCCACAGGTACTGCCAGGCCTGTTGAGCTTCTCCAGCATTCTGTTTTTATGACAGAAATGGCCTTGTTAGCCACTTGATGTTACTAGTGAATAAGCAATAAATTGTGGCCATTGTAATGTCATCCACATCGCCAGAATGAATAAAGGAAATATCAACATTTAATTTGCAAGTTCATAAATCAAACAGGTGAGATTGCAAAAGGGATTTCTCTTCCTCTGAACTACCCCCATTCCTTACAACACCATGCATGTATGTATTTGACTAGCTAATGTTGCTCATTAAAAAGGAAGTAAACTCTTGGCATAGAAGGAGATTTCTCTGATTGCTGTTTCCTCTTACGATGATCAACAGCGTACAATTCCCTGGAGAACTTGCTGTGAACCATGTACTTCCTCTTTCTTGTGATTCAAGTCAGAATATGCTTCTTAGGCAGCCAGAGGCTGGCAGAGTAAAATGATAGAGGTCATAGATTTCCCAATGCAGCATGCTGCCAAAAGTTGTAATGCAAGGATCAAAGATCACACAGCTGCTAACTCAAGTATAGACCAAAGTCCACATGAAGGCAAATCATCGGATGAAGTAACTTTAGCAGGAGACGTTTGGAAAAACAAGAGCAGGTGTGGAATATCCATTACCAGAATACCCAGAGTGATGCATTTTAGAAGAATCCAGCATAGGATGTGATCCTTTTTTTGTCAAGTAGTTAAGGGTTAAGAAACATGTTGACTGGAGAGACATGTCTAATAGCAGTACATGCAATTTAATCAATTCCATAAAGTGGACTTAACAGTGAAACACATTCCCACTGAGTGAGGATCTGGCTTGCATTGTGGAACGTACCCTATAGAACGAGGTTTTATTAGTTGTTACATCATAAGTGTGTTCTGCATATGTAAAAACTGTGTCCAGAATCAATATTTTTATGAATAAAGTATATTTTTGAAATAAAAAAGGGAAGAAAGCTAAAATGGTGTAGAAGGTGGAAGATTGTTGAGATGATGAAATGTTGAATGGTTAAGCATGTCCTGAATTCTGAACTGAATGTCATTAGAGTTCACCAGCCCATATGGGAAAACTTCTGCTGTTTACCTCAGATTGTTGGCATCTAATGATGATTGTGTGTTTCTGTGGGATGCACTTCTGTGGTTTAGTTTTATGCCAGAAATTGTCAGGTTCTTAAATAATTAATTGGAATCCTGCAAAATAAACATAAGCTCCTTTTTTTTCTTTCTTTTATTCTATGACTACCATTTACCAATCTAAAACTAGGCACTTCACCGTCCATATTTTTGTGTCATATATGAATAGATGAGAGATGCTAATTTGTTAGACATAAAAGCAGTTTTCACTTACCACTTCACCAGGAAGGCCTGCTTTTCCAGGAAATCCATCAAAGCCACGTTCCCCCTAATAGATGGTAGATGGCATTAATGATAATGCACATGCAACCTGTAATCCTGAAAAACACTTCATCCAGATTTTTTTAAATGCAAAGTTGATTTTAGTTTCTACTCAATACAGTCGCTGATTTTACTTGCATGAGCTATTCATGCATAGAGCTGTATCTTGATCTGTCATGATTCATCAGATGGCCATTTCCAACACAAGAAAACTGCACCAAAAAAAGATGGATATCCCTGTTGTAAGACGAATCCTTAATGCTCATCAACTTGTACAATCTATCTAGTGGATTTGCTGCCACTATACACTTTCCTGGTCATGATCTGCAGTGTCTCTTTCGTCTAGTAGATAGAATGATGACTTGGTAATCAAATGACAAGGGACTCTTGCCTTAAACAAGATACAATTCATTTCATGATGGCGGATATGTAAAAGTTACACTGATGTGTTAGGCACAGTTACATAGATTATAAGGAAGACCCAAACAGGCCTTCCTCCTTCAGTTCTGAAGCTGTTCTTCCCCTCCCATATTGAAACAGCATCATCATAGTGGGTGGTGACACTCCTCAGTATTGACCCTTTCAGAACTTTACACCCTTATATAACAAGGCCCAAGCTTTAAAAACAAAAGCTATGCTTCAATTCAATTTTGTGTC